CCGGGGACGCATCCCTCTGAGCACACCCCGCTCGGGGGGGAACGCTCGTCTCATCCCTTCTCTGCTGGGGCTCCTCCGGCCTCCACAGTGCCAGCCCTGCCGCCCTGTGCCCTCACCCGGCCTGGCTGACTGCTCACGGGTGACCTCTTTGCCCGCAGGGTGACAGTCCGAACGCAGCCACGCCAGCACCGTCCCGCTCCGCGATGCCTCACGGGAGAGGCTGCGCGCACACACGCAGGCACCCCACACTCCCCAGGGATCTCTGGGCACCTCTCTGCCATCCTCGAAGGGAAACCTGCGGCACGGGGATGCTGAGCTCGCGTGCCACCTTCAGTCCTGGGCCAAGCACTGCCCCCGGGATGCCTGGTCCCTTGCCCACCGCACTGCGACCGACCCGTGTACCACAGCTGCTCCACATTTCTTCTTGCCCTCTCTTCCCCTAGCACTCGAAAGACCACCTGCACCCAGCCTTGCCAGAAGGACACTGAAAAGTCGCACATGCGCACACACACACGCACACACCCCTCCTTCCTACAGATTCAAGCTAGCAGCAAGGCACTACAACACACCCGAAGTGGACAACGTTCCCTCTCCCCATACCGATGAGAGGACACCACCACAAGCCCAGGCCCTTGCTCGTGAGCTGTGTGGTTCAGTGAGGTCTGCACTCCCCGCATACTGGTCCTGGGACTGGTGCACCTACCACAGCTGCTCGCTGCCCCATCGCTCGCCCAGCTACCACTTTATGGCCAGAAACTCCCTCGGTTGCCAAGGCACCTGGGACTGCTGGGCACAACACAAACCCACGCAGCCTTTGCTCTTCCCATCATGCCGCCATTGGTGCACTCATGTGCGATACCTGCAGAGACTCAGCTCCTCTCCACTTTTCCCATCTGCATTAAGTGCCCCAGCCTTAAAGACCACAACAGTGTGGGTGACACTTTCCATAGGAAGTTTCCTCATTTCTCATCCTTTTGCCTCACTCTTTAAGACTGAGAGACCTTCCCTGAGGAAGTCCTGGAGCTCCCTAGTTCTGCTTCATCCCACCATCTCCTTCCACAGTTCCTTCATTCCCAGTGATGCCCAGTCTGGTAGTCCCCAGCCTCAGGACTCTCCTGTGCTCCATGCAGCAAGACACCCTGAAGTCCCCTTGGTGCCCCCAGCTGTCCCAAAACCCTGCACAGGAGGTCCTGAAAGTGCTCCGCTCCCTGAAAGGTCAGCCACTTGCTTTCTTGGCACATAGCTCCTTCCCTCCTTTGAGGACTGAGCTACACCATGGACAAGGTGTGATCCACGTGCCTGGTCAGGCTCCCTTCACGATGCCCTGACTGGGCCGCCCACCTCACCGGCCAGACTGGGGTTCAGCTCCATTCAGCACTCCTCTTCCCATCACATCTTCCACTGGCTTGGACCTGTTTCACTAATGCAACCATTTCACCACAGACACAATTCCAGGCAAAAAACGTTCATTCCACTCTGGTTCTGCAGACAGCCACAGGTATTACCAGCTCCTGGCAGGACCCTAGCACCTACCATGGGCTATGCATGCCCTCCTGTATGGCCCATTCAAGCTGCTCTGATGTTCTACTGTTTGCCACGACACTGTGCACTACCTGTAATTTGCTCCACTACAAACATAGGGGAATGCGGGAAACATCTGCCACGTTGCCTCACTTTTTACCTCGGGGCCTCTCCCAGTGGGGCCGCTCACTTAATCTTCACACTGCGCTGTGCCTGTCCCACACACCTGCCTCTGTCACACTTCCTGAGCAAAGTTCAAGCAGAGATGAGGAGGTCCTAGCCCAGACTCCAGGACGGCCTCAGCTTTGTAATGCTTTCCCTACAGCAGAAAACAAGTGACCTCTTCCTCCCTCTTGGCTTTGGTTATGTAGCTGTGTTACTCCCAAGGTTTGATATTCCTCTGCTCCCTTGTGGCAACTCTCAAGACAGGTTTGCAGATTTGCACTGCTCTACACCCGCTGGGTAGGATGTCCTCACGTACATGTCAGCACTGGTATTGCTGTGCAAACACCACCCAGCCACAGCAGTGCCTGACCTAGCCCTGGGCAGAACAGCCTTCACGGATGCATCTTCCCCCGGACAAGGCTTCACCAGACAGGCTGGACTGTGATGTGACCACTGCAGGTGTTCCTCAGGAGCCTCGGGGCATGCTCAGGAGTACTTCCTAGCATGGGATGCCTCACACCCTGCAGCAATCAGCCCAGCAGCAAAACGCATATTTGGGCCCCCAGTGCCAGGACAGCCAAGGCCATGGTCCCTATCTCCGACCAGATCTGACCTGCCGAAGCACTTCTACATTCCCACGGCAGACACAACATGTGAGGGCCCTGCAAAAGGCACGGATTACATGACCAATTCACCCTTCCCCATTCCTACACCATAACCCCAGGCGTTTCCTGGTACCTTTGGCGGAGGCATTGTTCTGCGAGGATGATGAGGGTCTCCTCTGTGTGAGGAAAACACCGGGTGCCATCGGCTGCGATCCCCTGTTAGGCTGGGCGACCCCAAAGGTGCTGGCCCCTGCGGTGTACTCGTGATCTGTGAGGCTGCTGGCATGTGACTCCAGCTTCGGCTCTGGCGAGCTGCCTTCCTGAGCCGGTTTGTTCGCGTTGTTGGTTGACAGCTTCTTTTTGGTATTTTTTTTCTTCTTGCCTTTTTGTTCCTCCTTTAAAATGACAAACATGAAGCTCAGATTAATCCCCAGAAGACCTTTAGCTACGGCAAGGGCCAGCGGCGTTGCTTAGGGTCCTGATACAACGAAAACCCACGAAGTTTGCCATGTACAAACTGCTCAGGGTCTGTTCGGATACCATCTCGCTCACAGCTCTCTCTGCTGCACACACACGTCTGCCTTTCTTGCATCTACATATGCGCTTTGTGCAGAGCTTCCTTGTTTGTTAACTCTGCATACACTGCGGCGAGCAGGAGCCAGCCAGGACCAAAATGACCCTGCCTTGGGAGACCAGCGTGGTTTTGCATGAACAAATCTTTCGATGTTCCACAAAAACTGGCACCTCCTATCTTCAGGTATCTTCATACACTTTCACAATAGCATGGAGGATATTAAACATCCCACTGCTTCACAGACTCTGCTTCCTGCTAGGACACACACATTATCTCTCAACCTGTAACCGCACTTATACACACATACCGTGAGAACAGTGGTCTGTCACCATCCTGTTTCCCTTGCCTACCTTCAGTCCGCTTCTTGATGAAATCCTGCTACCATTCTTAGAGCTCTTCTACTCAACAGTACACATCACAGAAGCCCAACGCCACCAAAACCTGCATCTCCAGCAACTTGCCAAGGTGTCTCACCAACCTTGCTCCAGCAGACCTTGTCACCTTCACACCTCACGATGTCACATTTGTGGGGCCTATGTGCATGAGGTGCTTAGCATCTATCTGACCTCTTCAGTGACACAACACTTATCAACACCCGAAGTGCCTCAGTATCTTTGCTAAACTGACCCATAGCTACCCACGGTTCACCAAATCTTTGGAAGTAAATCCTTATGCTTCTCAGCAGCCGATTTCCACAGACAAGTCAGTCACACCAGTCAGACTCTCAAATACACATCGATATGCGGTTCATGCACGCTCCTTTCGGGCAGCCTCCTTCTGTCTTAGCCTGGTAGCTACGCTCGCTCACTTATACTTCTCTACACTTCCAATACATCGCCTGCTCTGTGCTGCGGTGTTGTCCAATACTTTGTGACACCATTGGACTTTCATCCCATTTATCTCCCCTGAGACTGCTGAGCCTTGTGTCACTGGCACGAATAAACACTGAGGAGGATGGGCACTGCACTGCTATTTGGGCATGACTGCTGCTGGGGGAGAGGGCTTTCATTTCCTGACAGCTACTACTTCTCAAGCAACCTCACCTGCTGTGACAACTTCGCGGCAGCAGCGGCAAGTCCAGTTTCAATGGAGGCAACTCTTGTGCCCTCTCGCACCGGTCTGTCTTGTCGAGGCACTGAGGGGCCAACTCGTGCTACAAGGAAAGCAGATGCAAGTGAGACGTGCAGAAGGTGCCCGTGTGAGCAGCATAACCACACACTGGGCAGCGAGGCTCTGCCCTCTTGAGCAGAGAGGGCCAGGGATGCCACAGCCTCTGCCCTTTCTTCCCCAGGATGTGTGCGAAGGCAGGAGGTGCCAACAGCCTCCAGGCACAGCGGCTTGGGGAGAAGCTGCCAATAAAGACGTAACACAGCTGAGCAACTTCACTGGCAGCTGCAGCTACCTGAAGCCAAAGCCCGGGAGGTTTCTGCCTACACTACAGATATGAGAGACTCCAGCATCATTTCCAAATGGACAGTGTTCACTGCCCCATCAGCTGGGGGTGCACATGCAGTGCCACAAGCTGATGAGACACGGGCTGCTTGTCACACACACAGCAAGCCGTGGAGACTCCCGTTAGTGGGCCACATCAAAGGGGTCTAAGGACACCCTGGCCTGTCACTGCCTCTCATGAGTCGCAACAAAACCACCCTTCCAGACCACCAGCTTTGGCTGAACCTGGAGGAGACTATTCCCACTCTCTCATTACTCTTTGCACAGTCAACACCTAAAAGCCATGACTGCTCAGCTGTCTGGGGTTTCACTGTTATACCACTGCTAAGGTGGCCACCAATTGTTCCATCATGTGGAACATGAAGAAAAATAAACCAACAACCCACAGAGGAATTACTTTTGCCTGCCAACTGATTGACAGAGGAAGGCTTAACACTGCTCAGCATGAGTCCCAGCGCACAATACCACCTTCCACTGTGCTGGAAAGGATTAATCCTTCATGTGGTAAAGAAATTGCTAGTTTTGGTCTTAAAATTTCCACACTCCTTGTAAAATGGCTGGTTTCTTAGGGACCTGCAGGACTTGGCCTGAGTCTGGGCAGCAGAGACCATATGGACTTACCCGTTGGACTGTAAGGGGCATCATCTGAACTTTTCCTTTTCTTTGATCGGGATTTGAATACTGGATTATCTTCATCTGATTCAAGAGAAGGGTAAACTACAGTAGGAAACAAAGGCAATAGTTTCAGTGTAGGAAACAGCTCTACCCTGCATAGAGGCACACTTGTTCTGTACAGGTGTGGTGACTACAGGCATCACAGCTGGAATAGCAAGGTCCCCCAGAAGTACCAGTGAGTGGTGACACAGCTGCAACACTCAGGGGACTTTCTCCTGCTCTCATCCACACGCTACACTTGGAAGCTGCTGTCATTAAACTGTGACAGGTACTTTTAGGACACACAGAGAAACTTCTCAGACAGGAAAAATCAGTCTTCCTCTTGTCTGTGGAGCGGCAGCACAGCTAGAAGAGACATGAACAGGTTTTCTTATCTCAAGCTAGACTGCTACTGAAGACATGTCAGTCAACCACTTCATTCAGCACCACACCTTCCTGGCCCATATGACTCCTGCACAGTTAGGCAGAGACAAATGAGACAGAATGGGAGTATCCAAAAGACGAACGTGAACCATTCTACCAGAGGACCCTTCACAGGCCTCAGGGATAAACACCAACTTACCTGTCTCAACTTTGTCCCAGCCTGTACTATGAAGTTTCTGTATTTTTTTTTCACATGCATTTGATTTTCTTGCCAGTTGCCATTTGTTACATCATGAGTGATTTTGGCATTACTGTGGCATTTGGCCATTGACACTAGAAGTCTGCTGATCAGATGTGGCACAGAGCCTCTGGAAACCAAGCCTGCTCACAACAAAGACTCTCCATTCACTGGCAGCATAGACACATAATGAGAAAATCCACTCCTCAGTAGAGCAGAGCCTTGTTCATGCGGGGCGTCTGTCTGTAAACCACACCCCTGTCCAACAGCTTCATGGAGCTGCCCTTTCCCAAAGCACCTTCCAGCACTACCACTGCATCTCAGCACATGCAGTGCACTCTAAATGGCCAGGCAGCCTTCTGCAACACGTCACAGCATCTCCATTTTGCCTCGGCATCTCTGTTAATTATGTGAAAAGGCACACTCCACTTTTCCAATTGTAACAAATTATTTCTGATGGCCATGCTTGCCTGGGAGACTTAAACACACACAGACTCTCCCGTTACACAGCATACACCTCTACCAACTTCTTGCCGTCTTTGCGACTTCAGGCTTTCCAGTCCCTGTCAGTCTTCACACTATTACTTCTCGTCATTTCCTCACTTCTTATACTCAAAAATGCTCCTGCAGATTATTATGGCAGAACCGATATAACTGGTGCAAACTGGCTTTGTGCCCATTTCTGCTTCAGGTGCCTGCATTCCCTGCCAACACTGAAAATAGCATTGGATCCTTTTTCCAAGTACAAATTCAACTTCTCGCTCATCTTAGCTAGATATTTTATTGCTATTGTGCAGACAAGGACGTTTCTGTCATAAGTACCAGTACCTGACACACACGGATGGGACAGTTTCCTGTTTCTTGGCTGACTGCTGCGGTTTCAGTGGGCTTCCACGCTTCTTAAGATCTTCTGATTGTGACGTGCCTCAAATACAGTCTACCTGGATGCCTGTATCACCACCGGCTGTGTAGTCAGTATACCTATCATACAGTGTTTGCTTAATTTTGCTGTGCAGACCTCTTGTTGTTTGCACTCCTCCTTACCAAAATACCCAGTCGATTTCAATGTGACAGAAAGTGAGCAAATGTATCACGAGAAACATGGGGTGTATTTGCAAACGTGCACAAATACGTACATGCATACCCAGGCACATACTCAGACTGCTTTGTTTGTACTTACCGTAATCTGAATCTTTAAAACAGGCATCTAAGTGGTCCTGGTCTTCATCATAATCTTCAATGTCAATACTGTTCTTTGTGCTTTTCTTTAGTAACCGCTTGCCGGCATTTTTGTTGCTGCCACCACCTGTTTTTTTAGAGTTTTGTGTGGAGATGGAGTTATTTTTCGCCTGATTGGTACCCCATGACGTCTGGAGGCAGGACTCTGACGACTGGAGGTTTGCCATCGATAGCATGCCCTGGATTGCTTCTTGCGTGCTGGGTGAGGCAGGTGGCTGACTGCGGGAAAACATTGAGAAATACAAGAGCTATTAGTGATCGCAGAAAAACACGAACCCCTCACAAATAGTTGACTCCTTTCACTGCACGGTGTTGCTAGAAGAGATTTCCTGATTACTGCCCTTTGAGCAGCTGGGCACGCCACAAGTGACACCAGCTATTTTTATGCTAACAGCAATATCACAGACAGCACGTTAGATTTGGAGTTGCTGCCCCAGAAGCCAGGAAGCGGTGTGCCGCACAGCTGGGCATGTGATGGGCAGCTCCCTGGGGGCTGCTGTCGCTGGTGGGGGAGGACAGGGGTCAGGTAACTTGTGAAAGCCCGTAACAGCATTCCCAACAACACAGTGTCTCTACTACCGACTCTGAGGGCTTATGGGTCAGCACTGGAGGGGGATGTCATGGTAGGCTTCTGCTACATACTGCCAAGCAAGTAGAGGAAGAATTTGAACAACTGGAAGGAAGCTCATGATCACGGGCCACAGTTCACACTGGGGGCTGTCACCACCCCAGGATCTACTGGAAGAGCAACATGGTAGGGCACAAGCAATTCAAGAGATTTCTGCAATGCATTGGGAGGGTTTTCTGATGTGGATGTGGGACGGATTGATTACAGGAGATGCTGGAGAGATACGGACTGGACGGGTGGACTACAGGGTGGGTGGAAACTTGAACTTGCTTTTTGGTATTTTATTGTCAGTTGTCAACAGGCATGGCACATCTACTACAGAAAGAACTACATTCTTACAGAGTAGGCTGAGGTCAAATGATGTGTAATTCTGACTGGCATGTACACTTAGCAAGGTGGGAAAGCACCCTCCCCACAATATAGAAGAATGTAGAAGAATGATAATCCTGTCAGAGAACACCAGACATTAATTTTGCATCAGGCAGAACACATCATCAAATATTTCCAGAACTCTAGAGTTTCGGCAAATTGTGGAATGCAAAAAAACTTGCTGTGGTAATGATATTTTTTACAGTTATGCAATAGAAGCCACTAACATACAGCATTTCCCAAGTAAATTAGCAGTACCACATCACTTTCTCTTACTTGATCTTAATTTAATCCACTTTAAACCATTACAGGGCTCCAGATAGAGTAACATACAAGACATAATGGGAGTTTCTGGGCACTAATTGCATTTATAAATAATCCTGAAAATGAATTAAGACCGGTGCTAGCAGCTAGCAACTCAACAAATAGAAGAACATCGAAAAACTTATTTAGGAGAGACATTTTAATCCCTTCATTATCGTGCCAGATGCCTTAGCCTTCTTTCTCCCTGTCAAAGGCACATTTTGCACCATCTATAAGAAATGAACATATTTTCTTTCAATTTTTTCCCCCAACTGTTTCTTGCAAACACCGGACTCTCAAAGCGCTGCAAACAGACCATCAAGCACTGACCACTAAACGGGCAAATTAGAGAGGAACTGCCTTAAGCAACACAAGCTTCAACAAATAAATTGTGGAATATGATCAAAAACAGTGGTTCTGGGAGTCGAACCACAACCTGAATGTGTGGGTGAAATGCCTCATAAAGACAGAGCTGCACACGGGACAAAGTGTTTCTCATTAGGGCATGTGCTTGTGTGTACTTTCATTAGAAGCATTTCAGCTTTCTAAGCCAAAAAAAAATCAAGAAGAATCAGGAAGCAATTTTTAAGCTCTGGAAGGCCATATCCCCTTTCTGTAGCTTCACCAATGATTTTAAAAAAAACATTTATGAAAGTAAACTATCTGTGAGTCACAACCATGACTTAAAACACATTTTAAATGAGCGTGGGAGCAGGAGCAAAGCAGCCGGAGTGCTTCTGCCCCCATGCTCCCCTCCCAGCAGCCGGCTGGCAAGTGCCCTTCAAACACACAGTGAGGTGGCACTTGGCGATAGCACAGACCCTGCCACTGCTCTGCAAATCCCGGCAGCCTTGCTTTCCTTTCCTCTCGCTAAAAAATGATGTTGTGGATGAACAGAGAAAAAGACACTTTAACAAACTGACTGGTAGCAGTTTGTGCCTTTTGCAGGGGGCTCCACTTCAGCATTTTGCACAGCCTCCCTTTTCGGGATTTTATTGTCTCCTTTTACTCTTCTAAAGACAAGGACACATGACTGAGAGATTAGTTTACTGCAATAACCGTTTGCTGCCTAGCAAGCATCTGGTGATTTTCAGCTGCGTATAGTGCAGGAACTGAAAGGGGTCCACTGGAAACTGCCAGCTTCCCCTGCAACACCCAGCACTGCGCAGTAAACCCCACCGCAGCCGCTGTATGGTCCACAGGCAAAAGCACCACTCAGATGGCCAAAAAGGCATGGCCAAAGCAGCACGGCGGCTGCATGGATGACCCGCAGGGCTGGGCTGTGGAGGACGAGTCCGAGGTATGCCAGGCCCAGCTCCCACCCACAGCCCACGCTGAGCTGGTACAGAGCCGGACAGGCCAAGCTTGCACCCACATGGAGCAGCCTGAGCTCAGAAGCCTGCTAATGAGCCACGTGCATCCTCATCATCAGCAACTGCCTTTCTGCTGCTGCTCCCAAGAGTTGAAACTGGCAGCACGTTTTCACGTTATTAACACAGAGAAGCACCGTAACAGAAGGGAAAATCTGCTGTTAAAACTTATCCCCAGTAAAATCTCCCCCAGGGCTGACCAGGCTGAAGTGCTGGTTAGGACAGTGTGATGAGGAGCAGGGAAGGGCAACTCATCTCGGTGGGAACCTGAGGAAGAAGACATTGGTCTGTATGGCACAGATGGCTTTGCACCCTACACACAGTGTTCTCTGCAACTATTTGTTGTGTTGTATTTAAGCCTCAGGGCCTCAGTGTCCCAGAACTGCTTGCCGTTGCTAGCGGTTATCTTCATCAGGGAGGAGAGCATAAAGCATCCCTTCAGGCTACGTTTTGGGGCTTTTACATTGCCGGCGTTACCCACCTAGACTTGGCAAGAGCGTCCTTTCCCTGACAGCATGTTCCAGAGCAGGTGGCAATAGGCAAACAGCTGTGATTGTGACAAGAATACACACAATTCAGCACAGACAGACTAAGGTTTTACCTCCCTAGTTGAGGCTGGCCCCTGTGCTGTCTGGGCACAGGAACGATCCCAACACCCTGAAGCTAGGAGAGGATATCATGCAGGCAGCCGGTGCCTCACTTTTCACAACCAATTCTACTACTGCCATCTCTGTCTGAGGGTTCAACATCTCTAGGCAGATCATCGCCTTCCTTTCATAAGCAATTACTGAGGCTTTCACCTATATCCCCATATTTAGAAATCGAATTTATTAATTTCAGCAGAATATTACTCATTGAAGGGTGGCTTCTTCCCCATTCTCCATGTTGCCTACACAGATGGCTGGAGGCACTGAAGGGCAAGGCGGAGATGAGAGACAGTAAGCTCACTAATGTCTCACCTTGTCTCTGAATAACTATCGCCCAGTCTCATCATTAGGGGAAAAAATAGATAAGGTCGAAGGAAAGTCACAGGAACCAATGAACATTTTCTAAATGGAAATAAGAACTAACCTGAAACAAGAACTATCTCATGGGGTTACAGAGAAGACAGAGCCAGACCCTTCTCGGTGGTGCACAGCAACAGGATGAAAGGCAGTGGTCACAAGCTGCAGCAGGGGAAAACCCATCCCAACACAGGAAGAAAAAGTCCTTGCTGAGGGTGGCCAAGCAGCTCACACAGAGAGTCTACAGAATGCCTATCCCTGAATATATTTAAAACTTACCAGGGCAATGCCCTGAACAACCAGGCCAAACCTTGCAGCTGGCTGTGCTGTGAGCAGGCGGCTGCACTAGGTGACTTCCCGAGGACCTTTCCAACTGCCATTACTCTGGAATGCTTCAAATAAGAACCACTGAAAAACAGTTGTGCATGTAAGGGGAAGGCAATAAATCACCATCTGTGATAGTATTTCCCTGTCATTTCTGCATTTCCCCTCACCCTGGGGCCAAAAGCAAATGAACTACAAAGAAGAAGTGGAGCCAAGACAGTAATGACTTATCAGTATTTTGGAGAAGTCACAGTTGTATAAAACTATGGAACTCAAATGATTTCAAGTACAAAACCAGTATTTCCTTCCATACTTGAATCACACCTGGAAACAACAAATAATTTTGAACAGTTCAAGATCACATGACTACCAGTCCCTCCAACCTTTTTTCCATATTCCATTTCAGTTCTTTCAGACTGTCTCTACATTTATAGCAGACCTTCTGCAGGACGTCTGTCATCATCTCTCCCCATCTTGCTACCACTGACACAAGTAGAGGAGATGCAGCTCTCTAGAGCAATCTAGGTAATGCCATCAGGGCATTTGGTTTGGTCAGCTGCAAATGACAGTCCAATATCTTACAGAATAAAGTTTCACACAATTCAGATAAGGTCATTATCACAAAAAAGCCCTGACCTGCTCCCTAAGTTACTGCTGGGGTTCAGCAGTGCCGGGACTGGTCTGACAGGGCTCCATGTTTCCCACTTGAGAGCTGGCTCCCATCTGCACAGACCACTGTGTGAGCAAAGCAGATTCCACGTAGGCCTACCTGCACTACTGCTACGTGAAGTATCCAGAACATACATTCATATATATATGTATATATATAAATGCATACATATGCCTACCCTTTATCTGCCTTACAAGTAGAGAAAGATGGAAATTGTTCCTGAGAGTCAGACACGACCACATTGGCATTATGTTGCGACACAGTATGTTTGCATATCATGTTTCTTCCATTTTTTTAAAAAAATCATGTTACGGCCATTTAAAAAGCCTAGCATAATTATGAAATGAAACATAGTAATTTCATTTATCGGGAGCTTTTTTCAATCAAGCTCCAACGCACACTGCCAAAGCCTAATTGTTTATACAAGAGCCAAAATTGATATGACACATTCCCACTGAACTACCACACACAGTGTAGTAATTCATGCAGAGTTTAGTTACGTGACTGCGTTTGCAACTTTGATTTCAGAAACCACAAAGTCTACAAATACACTGTGTACAGAGCCCAGGCTGAAAGGAGGAAAAATGAAAGGCCAGAGTCCTACTCCATTACTGAGCAGCAGTTTTAACCCATTGCAGATGGCAAAAGACACCTCCCAAGCAAGGAAGAGAATCTTTGAGGACCATTTCTTTAACCTGTTTTTTCCGCTTACCCCTGAATTTGTGCACATTGTAAGTAGGCAGCGAACCATGTTATACATGGAATGGCTAGTAGTGTACACATGGCCAAGGCAGATTTCTTTTAATTCTTACAATGGTTGATAAGTTTTCTTATTTTATCCCAAACTTCAAGCATGGGAGTCATATTACACTGGCAACTTTATTCCCAGAGACCTAACTACCTGCCGACATGTCTAATTACCTGCCAAATGTGAGCGTAAATTCAACACAAACACTAGTTCCATTATGCACCATAACACAGAAAGGAAAAGGAATTCACAGGAACAGTCAAACAGACAACAAGTGCCAATGTGATTATTTCTTTTGAAGGGCACATGCAGAGTTGGGGCCAAATCTCAAAACATGAGGAAAATCTAGAACCACTGACCCACTTGAACTCAGACATCAAAAAATATTCTATTTCCTGGGAGCTGCAGACACATGGGTACCTCTCCCCATACCCTCTGCTATCACAGGAGGTGGTTGGCTGTTTTGATCAACCACTCCTTGTTAGGGGGAAGGCAGTAATGGAGGAAAAACAGGACTAAACTGAGATTGTATCTCTTCCCTAGAAATAGCAGCCTTGTCAAGATAAGCCTTCTAAGGTTATGTAGTGACTATGTTACTTGACTTTAAAATCATTGGCTTTTTTCACCCCCATTAGGAATGAAAAGAGAACTCTTAAAGTAGACTCTGCATGCACACCTCAGTTCAACACAGAGATGAGGATCCCTGTCACTGTGCTGCAACAAGTAATAAATTCTAAATGTTGATGCACAAAGGCAGGACTGTCTCTCACAGAGCTGCCTGGTACTTCCCAACAGTCAATATAATATGCTTTAATCTCTTGTAACCATCTAAGCTGTGAAAGAGACAATTGCCTAATAAATTGAGAGGTTGAACCAGAAAATATTTCTGGTTCAGCAAGACTCCCTCCTTTAGATTTCTCTGTAGCTCTGTCACCACACTGCAACCTTAAAAAATTCCATCTTCTGTCTTAACATCAAAAAATCTATTTTTTTTTTAAACTGCTTTTAAAATTTGCTTCTATGTTTTCCCTTGGTAACTTATTCCATATGTTCCCCTTTGACCATGAGGCATATCTTTTGGAATTCTCAGTTATGGCTTTTAACTTCCAATCTTTCCCAGGTTTAGATAATATCTTCCTCTCTGAGGGGACCTTCTCATTCCATTTTAACAGATTCTTTCAAATTTGCAAGCTGCACTTTTCCTGGGTCACGCACACCCAACACCCAGCAAGGGCACAGCACGGGTGAGGACAGCACCAGTCTCTCTTTGTCCAGTCTGTTCTCAACTCTCAGACCACTCCTGCAGCTACTTCTCTCTCCTGCACAGGTTCTGTGGCTTTGTATAACCAAGGCAGACCTAGAGAAAGCAGGAAGGAAAAAAGATGCTGTTGGGGCACCCCAGCAACCGCTGAATGTGGTATTTGGCTTTACTACTCAAAGCAGATTGGTTTTGCTGCTTTGCACATATAAAATGGTGCAACACACCTCTTGCTTCCATGCAACATCTGCTATATGAATCGGGAGTAGGATAAATGCTGCTTCAAGCAGCCAGCCTGGAGAACCAACATGTCCTGCCTGCCTGGTGAAGGTGGTTTTCAAATGAAAGTAGAGTGGAGATGGTAACTGGCTTACTAAAATGCCAAACAAGAATAGCCTTACTGCATGTTGCAGATCATTTCCCACATCAACACCTAGCCTGTCATTCTCACCTTTCAGAGGATAATTCCTTTGTTTGCACAACAGGCATATTTAGAGGCTAGAAACTTGTGCCAGCCATTTACCAACAGCCCACAGCTTCCAAAAGTACCAAGGCTGTACTCCCCGTGGAGCAGTTGAAAGTGCTTAGGTGAATACCTCTGGTTTTCTACAGACGGGGGACAAATCATTCAGTTAAGATTGCAGCAGCAAAGATCTACTTAATCAGCAGACTACTAGGGAGCACAGGTCATAAGACATAGCAGTTCATGTCTACAGTGCCATTCTGTGCATGGAAGCCATAAAGTCAGTTGACGCTCCCCAAACCCCTTCCCAGGGATTTCTTCCTAAAGTTTCAGTTAAGCAAGACATTTCCATATGTGAAGAGTCCTGCTAGCTTCTTTCGAAATGACAGACGTGTTTCTGTTACCTGATTCTCTATCAGTAGTTCAAGATCAGACTTGGCCTGTGAAGAGTGGAGGTAGTGAACCCATACAATTGTTTTGAGATGGGCCCAAAAAAACCCCCTTGTTCCAGACAGTCCTGAACTGCAGGATTTGAGTCTATAAACCATATTTTTCAATTTTGCTTTTCTTTTCACTGCTCACTGTTTGGATTACTAAAAGATCTAGTGCTGTGCCTTAATAACCATATTCCAGAACATCCAGTGTCAACTTCAACATCTACCTACAGTGGTCCCATTTGAAACACAACCAAGCCCAGGCAAGCACTTCCATTTTAGGTATACAAGTACCCACAAAAGAGTGTATTTTTCCAAGCCATGTGCTTTGGTGGGGAGAAGAATGATGACCGGGGTGTGAGGGAGGGTACACGGTTTCCTATTTTCTTCTTTCAAACATTCGACATTCAGGGAACTGCATGGCACCTTACAATGCCTTATGGAAGGAATGCTGGTCATTTAGATCACTTTATTACATTATTACTACATTAAAAAAACATTATTCATGCCCTCAAGCTGCATTCACTGATCTGTCTCTTCCTTCTGAATGATTCATCTATTATAGTATTATTGCTAAAATGGATGTTCAGCATTTACAGATGTGAAATGCCTCTATTTGTTTAAATTATACCACCAAAATCTTTCCTACACACTTTCCCACCTCTCCCTCCAGATCACAGGATAAAGGAAGAATTTGCTTACTGGAGAAAAAGCAGTTACTGAGCTGCAAAATTCATTCTCTCTCTCTCACACACATGCACAAAATCACAAGAGAGCAATTTTTGTTTATGGGTAAGAGGAAAAAACATCCCTTGGTGCATACCTGTTGGTGTTATACTCTAAACCCCCAACTTCCTTGCTTGCCTGCAAAAGATCAAGAATTCCTGCTGAACTTCCACTCTCTTTCTTTACTTTGGAATTGCGCCCTGGCTTTGCCTCTGTGTCAATGTGAAGCAAATCTTCATCTGACGAGTCATCGCTCTGCAAAAACAAGGAAAAGGCTCAAAAAAGCGGAAACTCACTGAATTAGTCAACAAGAACAGCACAATAACTTCTGCAGCCTGCTGGTCCTCCAAAGACACAGGGCTAGCATTCGTAATTTGCTTTCATTAAAGACAAAAAAAAACCCCAAACAAAACCAGGTACACAGTAAAAATCAGTCTCCTTGCAGCCTGTAGGCATGGTAGGTTTTTCTTTGCCCTTCCAACCCTGGAGAACCAGCTCTGAGATCTGATACTGTGCATGGGATCAAACCACTGTAACTGTGGTGTTTCCAGGTGCTGTGTTCCCTTCTCAGCCCATGTTCCTGTTCTTGAGACCATGACCCATGTAGCAAAAGAAGTGAATGTGTGGCCGTATCTCTGTCAGCCCAGATATGCATCAGGGCATGGGTCTGTATCTTGCAAGACTATTAACACAGCCAATTCAGACACAGGGACAGACCCATTTCTGCCATCCCTACTGCAAGAGAACAGGAAGATGTGACAGAGAAATGGGATAGACACATATAAACAGTGGCATCTGAGGCCACTGAAGGAAGCTACCTGCATCTAACTCTTTCTGGGGCTGGTATCTCTATGCACTGTAGTTGAGAGTGTAATAGAACAACTTTTCTCCCCCATTCCTGCCCTGCTTTCAGGCCCCTAAAGTCCCAGCCCTTATTGCTTAAGACTGCCAATCACTGTTCTCTCCAGGAACTGGCCTCACTCCTTACGCTTCTGCACAGTGAGATACCAGCATGTTTTTCCCTGTTCTCTGTGTACCGGTCTCCAGATGTCAACTACTGACTCAGGCAAGGAGGTCTGCACTTGCTCTTGAATATCTCTGAGCCAAACCAGGATGAAAAGGATTCCTTAGCTCTTAGGGCCAAACATTTCAGTCACCTACAGATCTGTGTTAACAAGCTATTTTGCTTTTTCTGACTTATTCAGATATTATAATATGAATTTGTATTAACCACAGTTGGGCAAAAGATTTAATTTTAATGTCATTTAATTTCCAGGATGGAGCTTCAGTGCTAACACAGAGCAAACTTAACACCTGTGCTGTTCAGCTTCCTGAAAGTAAGCTATCAATAGGCACACTGACACTGCCTCAAGTTAGGGACATGCTAAAGTATCATGCTGAGTCAAGCGCATTCTAGATGTAAGCCCGTAAGGGCAGAGGCAGACTCTGCTAAGTGATAGCAAACAAAACCTTTAATTGTTACATAATAGGTGTTAAGGGCTTCAAGTAACGTGAAACGCCAAATGACATCAGTTCAATTGTAGTAGCATTACTCTGAGTTTCATCTGTCAAACACTAACATGGAAATTTAATGACCAGTGTTCAACGCACATGGAGACAGGAGGGCAGACACAGGTTGGGAGCTGGACAGACCCCTGTGCCTGTCAGCAATGTAAACATCAAGCCAGGTATGACAGAAAACTCCTTCTGACCCTTCCCATTCCTTCTTATGGCTTGCTCCTGTTCTTGTGTTGTGATACAACTGTCGCAGTCCCCACACGCTTCCCATCAGGCCTGATCATGTACAAGCAGTTGAAGCCACAGTACCAAATTGTGCTTAGTCCTGGCAATGTCTGAATGCTACCTATTCTGGGCAGACTGTAACTGCAGAATGAAGGACAGGATGTGACAACAGCCTGTGAGAAGGCTTTGCTGCTGCCATTACAGTACTGCCCCACACACTGTTAGAGACATACAATGGGTGCTTGCTTGTGACAGGTACAATAATAACGATACCTTGTATGATACTGACTCCACCTTTGGCTTCTTAACAGGAGTGTGCTGCAGAGTGTCTTTTTTATCGGATAAAACTAAATTAAAAAAAAAAAAAAAGAAAAGAAAAACAAAGTCATGGTTCTTTTCCCTTCAAAAAACAGCACTCATAATCCACTTATATTTGACTGACAGTTAAGATATGGCTTTCTTTATTATAAATCACATAAATTTTAAAGACTAGTTTTGGACAATCAACAGCTAAGACTTTGTTGTGCAGTTACAGACAAAATAAGAAATATTCTTACAGGGCAGTTCTCTTTTTGTAGTGTTTTTCTTCCTTCTGATTGGAAACTCATCAATTTTTAGTTCACCATCATCTGACACATATTCATATTCATCTCGTACAGGTTTTGCTTTGTCTTCTTTAAAATTCTGCAGTGATCCAAACACACTAGTATTCAGCTGGGTTTTGACTCCCTTTGAACTGAAAAAAAATTACAAATCAGTAACAACACTTGGAGTGAAAAGTATTTTGTGAATTGACAGAGAGGAAGACAATGAGTATCTTTATGCAGAAATCTCAGTCAACTTGAATACTTTTAGAGGTGCCAGAGCAATTCAAATAATTTTACAAACACATTTCTGAACCTACAATTTGTATCTCAAAATATGATGCTGACTAGAGTAGCCTTGGATGGCTTCAAATAAGCATTGTATTATTTAAAGCTGTCTCAAAGTGTATCATGATATGCATAATGCACACACAGCATGGAATTTTGGTATGCAGAGTTCATTTAACAGTTTGTTAAAAATGTACCCTGAATAGCATCTGCCCAAAATCCACCTAAAATAACTTAATTATTAAGAACGTGAAGTGCCAAAACATGAGGCACTGCCTGAATACTGAAGACACTACTCTCAAGCAAGCTACCAGCCTCAAAGATAGGTCTTTGCTGTTATGGCAAATTAAGCTGGGTTCTAGGTAAAATCAAGTTCTAGAGCAAAGGACTTTTTCTATAAGTGTATATTCTACATTGACCAGGAAGGCAGATTTTCACCTTCTTGTATAAAAAAACCATAAATAATGACTTTAATCTGATTTTTTAGTTGATATGTATTGTCATATTTTTTACTTACCCAAGCAACTTCTTATTAGAGAAAGAGAATGTAAATTTGTTGTCCTTATTTCCTGATAAAGGTGTCTTTTCTGATTTGTGTTCCTCTTCCATTTTTAGAAGTGAATCAGGTTTACTGTTCTGAAAGGCCAAAGACCCAAACCAATAAAATCAGTTAAATGAGTTGTTGATATTTCAGATTCCTAGGTAACCTCAGAGAATCCATCGATCCATATGCAGAGAAAAATATGTTCCCTCAAATGTGGTAAGTAATAGAGGATTATACTCTTCCATAGACTAACATGGGTTTTAGTCAGGGACTTGCCCCATTCAAGAAGCACTTCAGCACCAGTTTAAGCAGTGCCTGCCACAAATACGATGGCAAATTTAAATATTGCTCTCTTAAATTAGTATGGACTGAGGTAAAATACTAAACACACATTTTGTGAATCACAGCACAGGCTAAGCACACTGCTCATCAGCATCATGCCTGTGTGGCTAAGGACAGAATCTTGCACAGTGTCTGTAACCTCGCAAACACAACTGCATTTTATTCCCAGGCTCCACTTGCTTCCTTCACACCTTCAGAAGAGCTTGAATTATGAATTTAATAATTTAATATCAAAGTCATCCAGTGCAACAGAAGCCTTTGATTATTTTTTAAGCATCACCTTAATACTTTCCTAAGCTGTACTGTCTGTGGAATTAATTGGTACATATTGATCTAATCACATTAACCATGACTTTCTGTAACACAAAAAAATTAGATGTCTCTAATGTTAATGATTCATGATTCTTAGTAGTTTCCCTGCAGCAAAAAACAGGTACTTTGGTTTTGTTTTGGGGAATTTGTTCACCTTTGTCATTAGATGTTCACAACGCAGGCAAAATGCAGACAGCTATTTCTGTGAGAAAGCCTAGTGTCACCTTGTTTTAAATGGGACCTGGAGAAAAAATGTATTATTCTATGAATGAATTTTACTCACCCTACATTAGCCCTCCATGAAGGCGAGCTTTTAATTCATGTGGCATAATTCAGATTTCATTAACTCTACTTTTATGCCATCATTAGTTATTGATTTCTCTGGAACTACTCCAGACTTATAGTACAACTATGTTAAAGTAAGAATTACAAAAGAGATCAGCACTGAAAAATCTCGCTATTAACAGTGTTCCCACTTGCTTCACTAAGGATGAAGATGGACAATTCAGCATACACTTTTGAAGAACCTGCTCCCCCCCTCCTTTACTTGATCATTTTCTGCTCAAAATTTTTTCTTTGGGAACTGAAAATTGGTGCCTCGTACTCTCTGCTTAGGGAGACTTATGAACATTTCTCCACCCTTGATTTATCACTATGTGGAAGAATCAGCAGCAGAATTTAACAGGAGACATTACCTTATATTTCCATTTGGCTTCTGTTTTGCTTTTATTTTGCTCTCGAACTTCAAACTTCTCCACCTCATTCTGCTTACTAGCAGTTTCCTTATTGGGAACACTTAAAACATTCTTTGCAGCCTGGGGAAAAAGTCAGCATGTACTCTTAATGAGGATGGAGTGCTGGCATGTTACAGAAACACATTTTTTATCTGGACTATAACATGATATATTTTTGAAAACTCCTCTTCTGATTCATTCTTTTTGAATCCAAATATGAGATTCAATCAAATATTGCTGCTTCAGAGAATGCAGAAGACTAGCTGCATTTCTCCTTGATATACCAACATACAAGAGTAGTCTAAAAACATACTAATCTCCCTGCCTATTGCTCCACGGACAGGTTTCACAAACTGCATACAAACTACTAGGAAATTCAGAAGCATTTTAGAAAAGACTTATGGATACTTCTAACAAACAGCGTACAATACATTACTCTGTCAGTGCCTCAATGAAATACTGGCCCCTACTGAAGTCAGCAGCACAATTCACATCGAATTAAAGGACATCAAAATGAAACTTGTCCTACATGGGCAAAAATGGAAGCAAACTATTGTTTTATCTTCAATCACTCATTCTAGAGCAAAATCTCATGTAAATAAGATGCTTTAGAAACTAGTTCCTTCATCTTTGATAACTGATAACGGAAATGCACACGAGTGCTAATAACACTTGAAATAAGAATATAATAGTTCTAGGGGCAAAAAAAAAGCCATTAAAAAATGTCTTTTAATTTTCATCTCACCTCTGTTTGGGCAGGCAACTGGCAGCAGTTTGCCAGACTCAGCCTGAATCAATAGGTTTCTTGGAGGCTTCATATCAAATTAATAACCAAGCAAACAGTCAAATCAAATCGAACACTCAAGTAAAAAAGGGCGATAAGCGAGCAGTTAAAAAAATTTCACTTACTTCAGTGGAGATAGGGTTTCACACTGTGTTGCTTACATTATTTTTTTCATGAGACCTAAGGGTCATTTTAACCCTATTATGCTGAGAGAACAGGAAGAGGTTAAAATATGACCCACCTTCCCCTTCTTTGGCGTCTCAATCTTTGTCAAAGCCTCCTTTGTGTGTGCCTCCAGCAAGTCGAGATTCGGGATGGCTGGCGGTGGACTTTCTTTTGCCTTCTTTCCTTTCTTTTTTCCTTCTCCCTTAACTTTTGGTGTTTTGGGAGGCTTAGGGGGTTTGGGTGGCTTGGGAGGTTTGGGGGGTTTGGATGGCTTGAGTTGTTTGGGGGTTTTCACAGTTTTGGGAGTCTTTTTTTTAGGGAGCTTTTCTACAGGTGGGGGTGGAGGCGTCACTTGGACGGGTGATGGTGCCTCCTCCTTCTCCACAGGACAGATCTCCTCAGCATTTGTGTTGGCACTCGTGTCTGCTTTGCTGGCTTTCGAAGCATTCTGTAGTTTAGCACAAAATGGGAAGGCATTCAAACCCACTTGTCTCATGTTAGATATTCACCTGCACCCTCCCTTCCTTGGGGAAACAAACCCCAAAGATACCCCCTTCAGTAAAGGGGTAACTGCATTCACCGATCAGGCTGGCCAGGACATGAAGACCACACCACATGCCACTGTAACACTCTGCTCACCACTAATTCCCGCCCCCACATTGCTCCAGCACAAGTTTGGCCTGGAGAAACTCCAGTGGCTTCGTAAGGAATGTAACTCTCACCAGGTTTTATCATCAGGTAAGACTGTTAAATGGACTGCCCATACAAACAAATGTATAAAATGAATGGTCTTTTGTTTAAAATGCTAATCAGCTTGAGCACAAACCATTTCCATTTAATTCAGATGTGATAAATGTAGCAGAATCATGTTTCATGCCCTCAGGAAAAATAAGCAGTAAATAGCTGCCCAATTAAAATTAACACTGTCTGACTAATTAAAAAGAAATTATTTTCTGCTTAACTTGTCATTTTGACAATCAGAAAACTTATATACTACATCAAAGAGGATAAAAGGACAAGATAGATTTCAATTTTGAGGTCTTTGGATATAGTTAGAAAGGGGGTGGAATGTAACACAGTATCTTCTTAAAACAACTGAACTAGCTATTGTCACCTTGCACTGTCACACATCCCCACTAAGTGGAATATGATACCAGACTAAATGGATGATACGTCCATGAAACCTCCTTTTTTTGTTTTTTTTGGGGGGGGTCGGGTTTTGGGGGGGGGGGGTGTGTTTATAATTATTATCGCATCTGCTGTAGTAACTCTGCCTAGAAGCTGGCCAAGAACAAGGCCTCCTATCAGGACAATGCACAGAATAATAGTCCCAAGCTCAGACGAAGTCATAGACAAGACCAATGAACATAAGGAAAAGGGGATACTACATAGGGAGCAAGACCATGGGGATGGCAACAGTGTTCTTTGAGTTCTACCATATTTTTGGGTAGGGAGTAGCTAAAGTGAAAGAGAAAAAAAAGGATGGGGGAGTGTGGCCAGTCCAGATAAGAGAAGGTGGAGGGGGAAGGATTTAGGGAAGGCAGACACAGCGTAAAGCTGAGGAGAAAGCAAACAGGAGCCCAGAACACGTGGCAAGTCAGCCACAGACAAGAGTCCTGAGCAGACCCCCTATTGCGAAACCTCACATGAATTCTTTTAATGAAGAGAGGGGGAAAAAAAGATTCATTTATTTCAATTCATCCATTTTATAGCCTAGACTATTAAAAGACCCACAATATAGTTAATATTACGAAAAGAGCACAAACCTCACTTAATCTTATTTCTTTGGCAAGGTCCTTGATAAGTTGTGCTGGTTTGAAGTTTTCTGGTAGTTCATCTTCATGCTCTGCTAAAGCCTAAAACACAACAAAGCCAAACTGCTGTTTCTGTGCATGTTTTTTGCAAAAATATAAAAAAACCTCATTAAGTGACACATCCATATTTTTCCTATGTACTGAATTCAATACTGACTGCATCAGTAGTCCAAATAAGGTAAAAATATATTTTTCCCCCTTCTAGATATTATTGTAAATAGTTGTCCTGAGAGAACAACAGTGTCAATAGCCTTTTCCAGATGTTACTGCATTTTCACAACTGTAACATCACTTTGCTCACCCCCTTATATAAGATTCTGTGAGAAATTCCTTTTCTACATCTACAAGGAGAGATTGTCTTAGGCTGGTGTCTTCAGTGAGTATAATAGGCATATACCTTGTCAGCAGAGTGGTCTGGGAGCTCCCTGACAGGACTAACAATATTTGCATTCACATGTCATGTTACAATATTCAAAGTTCAACTTTACGCAAATGCCAAAACAGTCTGACTTCCTTTGACTCGCTACTTCTCATCTGCATGCAAGTGGAAAAAATAAGCAGAGTGACATGGAGAAGAGAGCTTCCACACCAGTCAGTCCTTCTACAGGAAACCAGGGAGCAATTCTGAATTCAGGCTCAAGCACTGTCTTTTTGCAGTAAGGAGCAGCCAAGTCCCTGACTATATTTAAATCTGGGACAGCCACCTAACTGACCTAACTGAGTATGCAACATTGTGTACTCAGCTGCTCATCTCTTCTTAAAATGTCTGAAAATGCTAAAGCTGCTAGTTCCCCTGTTCATGTTTTATGATTGAATGGCCTCTCCCCTGCAGCTAATTCCCCAAAACTTTAGGAGCAACACATGCAAGAATAACACTTCTGAAATGACTGCAGCAGGAAATTCAGGCTGCAAATCCCTTTAAGCCTTCTCTCCAACCAATATGTATTTCCTGGCTCAATTAATGTGTTGATTTGCAGGAACTGGGCACCTTGTGCACACAAAAATGGACGCATTGTTCTAGGCCTCACTTGCATACACAACCTCTGCTTAATTGATTTGGCACATTGAAATGCTCTGTCAGGGAGAACATTCATTCAGCATCCTTTTGGCTGTGTGCAGAACTGACTTTTTTAAAACTCTGGTGGTACCTTTTTTTCTGCTGACTCCTCATGTGGCACTATGAAATCCCAGCTATCGCCCTCCTTCCATCGCCCTCCTAGTCCCTTCTCTTTAAGATTTTAGAATTAGCTGTTTTGCTATGGCGATATTATTTGTTCTAGCATTCGCTCTCTGTTCCAGTGACTGACAAACCTGACAAACACACAGTATTAAAACACGCTTCTTCTCCTACCTGTTTTTTAGTCCATGACCTGAAAGCACCATTGAGAATTTTTGCTCCTTGGAGTAAATGAGCAGGAGGTTGTTGCCCAGCTTTATGCAAACCTAAGTAGAGGAAAAAACCAATGCCATTCAAACACTGATAGCTAAAGTTGTTTTACATAAAGTCTTTACTTTGAAAAAGTTTAACTGTACAAGTTAACCCTTTGAAAGCTGGTCACCACAAACAAATCCCTATTATAACTTGATGATAATAAGGAGTATATTTACTGTGTCACAAATCCAACTCAGCCTTCCTACACTGTGGTCCTGCAAGTTATATCTACACTGGCAATCCTTCTGGTTCCTTTCTTGGTCCCATACTCAAGCTAGCTTCCATTTTCATACATCCTAGGCTGTGGGAATAAAAAGGCACCATCAGCAGTTCTTTTATTCTGATTGAAAAAGCAAGTACCAATAATGGAAACAAAGGTTATATTGGGCAAAGCATTTCACTTCTGCATGAGTACAAGCTTTCCTAAACTTTTCCCCTCGTTACAGTTTTTGTTGAGTTGGTCACAAGGCGTTCCCTTCCAGGCGACACTCAGAGGGACCCCTCACCTTGCTTATTAATTAGACACATTTTTCTTGTTATAAAAGGATCTGGTGGATATCTGTAGACATGTTCTGTAGCAAGAGAAAAAGAGGCGAAGAGCTAAGCGAGCCCAAATCTGTATAGAACACACGCACATGGATGTTTGGATCAACTCTGAAGGAATCTGATTTGGAAGATTTTGAATTTCACAGAAACCTTTGCTTTAATTCTCAGTGCTCCTGCTGGCCACATGTCTGATGTTCCTGTGGCCCTGTATATATGTGACCTGTCCATGTACTTCAACTGGGATCAGCAGAATGGTGGGAGAAGGAAGTGCTACTCTATGTCTCAGGCTGACAGAGCATGTAGTCCATTAGGTTAAAAAAAGAAATGAAGCCAGACTTGACAGGCAACTAAAAACTAAAAAATTTTTACAACATTCTTTGCCTCTGAGGCAACTTAAATACATTTTATAAAGTAGATTAAACTTTCCCTTAGGCATAGGTAAGAGGGACAGTTAAGGTCCTTCCTACAGTGACATGGCAGGATATTAAGGGGAGAGCTGGACAAGACCAGCATGTTCTGCTGGTAAGTAGTTTTCAAATACTAACAAGACTGATTTTGGCCATCTGTCCATCTTCTATGTGGCACATCAGCCCCCAAGGCTAAGCAATTAAGGCAGGCAAAGAAATGCAGTTTTACCTTTGAAAGTCTCTAGTAGATGCTTTCCCATATACCAACATGCAGTTTCGAAGTTTGGAAACTGGGTCAGACTGACAATTTTCAATCGTCTTTCTACTTCATATGCCCTGTAATACAAAGCCACATGAACTTAAAGCATAGCAGGTCACAAGTGTGTCGCAGAGTGACAAGCACTGCTCGTAGATGCCCGAGGTTCATTCTGCAGTGTTTCATTTCTTTGTGCTGCTACCACGTATTCTGGCATCAGACCAAAACCAAAACAAAAATAACACTAGTAAGAAACTGTGCAATACAGATGTAAGTTTTATTGCATTATTTGTCCAGCATCAATAAAGAACTACTTGTATTGTCTTACACTGGGCAAAGAGCCCAGCTGAGCAGGTGGGGGCTTATCCAGAAGGCGAACGGCATGTTCTAGGGTAAAACTCCTGACAGTTTTTAACACTTCTTCCTTCAGGACTTGGCCACATCAATCCAAGCACCTTACATATCCTTTCCATGTGCTGCGCAATAGGTATAAAGACAGCTTAGAATAACTCAGCATGGGAGAACACAGTCGAAGGAGACAAACATGGGTACACTTTCCAAAATCGCCCAATAGAGTTACATCAACATTACTGCAAACGTAGGCTAATTAATAGGAGAGAGGATGGCCAATTTATTAAAAACTGAGCCTCTACCTAACTTTAGATTTTAAAGACAGATTACCTCATCTGCATTTCAACACTTAGACTATGTAGAAAATGTCCTGCAAAGGCCAGGCAGTCTACAGGTGTTAGAGTTGCATATATCCAACCTAAAAGAGAAAAAGAGTCCTGAGGATAAAAACTGGAATGACAGTAACAAAGACTTTATTCACAACATGATATTTATACTTCACTTAGCAACTTGCTTCCTAGGTACCAATGCAGCTCTTCAGTCCAAGTCAGCACTAGAACCACATACTTTTGAACAAAGTTGCATCTGGCCCCTTATTTGTTTTGCATGATAAAGGTCCAGCCCAGGAAGGTGTTACACACTTTTGGCTCCCAGTCCCAGGACTGCCTTCAACAGTGGCAGACAGTGAAAGGAGACATACTGCTCACACTGACATTACTTTCTTGTTACTGTGAAAAGCAGCAACAGCTACATAACAGTAGCTGCTTTCACATCACCATAAAAATCTCTGACAGCTCCTGACACTGACTTTATTGTAGTGTCAGGAACAGGTGTTTTCCAAACATGTATTTTCATACAAAAATGTACTCAAATTAGTGAATCTCTATAAATTGCTCAGTGTTTATTCCACCATCTGCTTCACATATGGTCATGAGAGAAATACCTACTTTCCACTTTTTACAGTCAAAGTAAAATTCAAGCGTGTAAACATTCTGTGCAAGAATATACTCACACCCAGAAAAACGGTGCACTGGATGCTGCCTCCAAAACACAAGCACACAGCACCTGGAAGCCTCAACTCAGATTATAGATTGAGTGGGCAGCACATCATTTAAAGGTACATAGAGGGAGAGAAAACCCCTGCCCCAAATCGATTACAGTTTCAACAGGTAACAGGGAGTGCTGGAAACAGCAATGCAAATGAGGAAATAATTGTTCATGGTGAGAGAAAGGTGAGGGACAGGGGCAGGAGTAGAACTGAGTTCACTTAAAACTCTGCACTATCTTCTGATCAACTCCCTATCCTTACGAAGATCCTCCCAGGAACTGAGAAATGCAAAATCTGCCATCCCTAACCTGCAATAAAAGCCCAAGTTTATCAAGTAGCCCATAAAAATCTGTGACACCCAGGTCTTCAGCCTCATGTGAAACCATAAATGCACACCCGCACTTGTGAAGGCACCTACAGTTCCTTAGTGTCACGGGGAATCAATGACCGTGAAAAGGATTTTGTGGGGAGTCAGGGTCAGAAAGTAATTCAATGCAAATTCTCTGTTAGATGACAAAAAGCACGAATGTCATGGTTGGATATATGGAGAGAACTCATGAGTTACTGCAACCCAGACAGACCAAGAGTGGAACACTCTACCTACTAGTTGTATTTTTAAAAGGCTGCTAAAATATTGATAGGAAGCAATAAAAGTTCTGATTTTTTTTTTTGGCAAGCATATGAAATTATACTTCTACTGAGAATTAGACTTCATACTTTGTCAGAGAAAATCGTCAAATCACACCCCTCTAGCATTTTGGACATGCTATTTCAGCAGCAGCTCTAAAATGAGCAGGAAACCTCACCTGCAACAGCCTGCTCACCTGATGGAATGAAGAGTGTCTGTCCTTGTTTAACTGTGCATTTGTAACATTTATCTACTTGGTCTGCAAAAAACATCTCACTGTGGTTTGCTGCCGATTGCCAGCGTTCATAAAGAGAAATATTTGCAGAGGCTGGTTTGATGAGATAAAATATCTTTTCTCCCTGAATTAGAAAATATAAAATTAGGAACAAGCAGCCAAACCAAACAACATTGCACTGGCACAGATACACACACACAGACAAATATTTATCTAAATATATACATAACATCATGTATTTTAACACTATTTAAATAAGATTTACTAGTCAGCTTTGTACAGAACAGCTAAAATAATTAAATCACTAGTTAACCACATGTGCTCAGATTTGTGGGACTGATGGTGCAAAAAGTTTACAGCGCCAGGTTCCATTAACCTGCAAAAGCAGGACGTAGTATCTTTCAGGCCTTAGGGGACATATGTGCAGAAGGCACTAAACAAATATTAAAATCCTAATACACTGAAAACACACAGACAACTTCCACACTCCAGCTGGCTTCCTCACTCAGTAGACCCTGGCACTGCTGAGAGCATACCTATTTACAGCAGTTAGGGCTCTGTGTATTACTTATGGATCCAACAGGACCATGGAGAAAAAAAACGAGACCTGAATTTTTGAGAGAATTTTAGGATTGTCTTCACATATAAAATTTAGTTCATTACTAGATACACCGCAAAAACATGACCCCTCACCTTCAGCACATGGTACCATGCAGAAGCTCCTCCCGAATCTATGTGGAAATCTGTGTAGCTGTCCTTCACACAGATCAGGCAGTACTTGGTAACTTTTGGTTTAGCCAGAAGAGCGTCATCAGGCCAATAGTTTTCCACCCAGGACAACTTCTTAACTATATCTGGAGGCTCTACAAAACTGGACATCCTTTACAGAGAGAATTGAAAACAAACATGCATCTTTTTAAAAAAAGAGTACAAGGACCCTGACACAACAAAAAGCGGCGTGTGACTCTAATACTTGTGTGGCAATCTGAAGCAGCTCCTTATGTGTCAGTGGAACTGCTCTTCACACAGAAAATTTGTGAAAACTGTTTACAGACAGAGTTTTAAGACTTTGTTAGTATGATGACTTAGAAACGATCTTTTGACTTCTTTCAGTAGCAGTATTTATGATCAAGTATACGGTGTTTGTATTTTTCCAGTCCCTGCCTCTTACTATGCAGGCTCAGTTATCAATAGCGCTGTTATCACAGTCACTTTTCCAGCCTGCTTCAGAAGAGAAAGTGAAATGTGTACACTCTTACATAAATGGCCTGGTAAATCTTAAAAATTTGCAAGTTAAGCTCAATATTAAAAATCCTAACAACAATAACATTGATACTTAAGTACTGAATAAGCCTTGATCTGATGCTGAAAATCACAGTGATCTTTTTATTTAAACTAAGTTACATTAAAAGCTCAGAAGAAGGAAAAAGTCTAATTTGGGTTCATAATGTGAATATATTTAAATTATAACATATAATATTTATTTATTTATTTTCTAGAAAGTAATATATATTGAACATATATTTATATTGTATATATTTATTTATATAATTCATATATTATGTTTATATTAAATATATAATATATACTATAAATCACAGCTAAGATGACATAGTGGCATGATAAACAGGTCTTGGAAGTGTTTCATCCCAGAATGTGCTAAATTTTATATTTAAGTAGTCCAAAATTTGGACTAATATTTGCAGAGGGTGGAGGTTCACTGTTGGACGCTCTAAAATATCATGTCAGTAAGAGTATCTGCACTTCAAACTAAAATTAAATGCTCCCACGTGTCATTTATGCTCACTGTCAAACACTGATAACAATAGCTCCATTTAAAATGGCAGGGAAAGATGGAGCAGTGCATTCAATTAAAGTGTCACCGTCTATGTTAAGAAATAAAATATTTGCTAGTTAATGTCTAAATTAGCAGCATATGAGTGACAGCTCCAGCAGTCCTTCAGAACAAAAGACCTCCTGTTATTCTGGGATAATGACAGAAAGCTAAAAAAATCTCAGGTGAAGATACTGGTAATCTTTGAAGCCTGTAATTACTAGAGATGCTTTCTGCAGAAATGGGTGTGCACTACTAAACACTAACTACAGGGCTAAAGGTAATGGCTTTAAAAAAATGAGCTTGTAATTATTCATCAGCCTTCTTTTTTAAGGCTACTTTAAGTCTTCTTGCTAAAAGGGAATGCTCCCCAAAACAACCATTCTTTATTTTTATGTTGACACTCATCATCTTCTGTGTAGCATTTGTATATAAAGGAATCTTTTCATTCTCTGATGCTTCCGTTCTAGGAGTACTAGCTACCCAGAAGGACTACAAGAACTGTAAAAATGATCTGCACAGTTGCATGAAGTTCAATACACTATAGATGCATCTGCCTACTTCTGGAAAAAAAGCACAGCTCAGGTGATGCATACAGCTATATAAACCACAAAGCAAGAACGTGAACTTTTAGGCATTTACATCAGCTAATTATCCTATACATAAAACATAGAATATAAAACATGAGGAGAATAGTAGGCTTCCTGTCACTGAGGACTGGTGATATTCACAGAGCCAGCACCATTACCTCTGGCTCACTGCATCACTAAAGCACCTCAGCCTCAAGTTCAGAGCTGATCTGTACCATCACATCCCCCAACTTTCCATCAAGAAGTCAGCATCACTCTAGTTTTGAACTGCTGTCATACAGACTACAGGTTAACTAACCAAAGCACTGAAAGTAAAACTGTAACACATGGTATAAGATTACAAAACAATAATAATTTCAAACTTATTCAAGGCCATCCAGTGACACGTTACGCTATTCCTAAAGCCACACCTCATCTATTTACTCACTCTCCCCTACTTTAAATGGAAGATTTCTGTACATACAGTGTTATCATACCTCTGTGGTCATCTCTGTCCTCCTTTCTTCGGTCTTATCGGTATTTATCAAGTTGCATCTAAGTACCTAAGATCATGCTAGGAACATACTACGTTATCATTCACTACCAGGATGAGGCAGAGAATTTGCTCCTGGAGCATCACGTTGTGTTCTAGTATATAGTTGCACTGAATTAACTATACCTATATTACTGAAGTTAAAATAAAACTGAAAGGTACCCAAATGTTCTGTTCTGACATGTGAATACTGATGGCACATGAACGCTGATGCTATGCAGGCATGAATTACCATGACAAATGCTGGCCTATTTAGTCTGCTATGTACCATTCTGCTCATACAGCAAATAGCACTTTCATTTCCATGCCTTGCCTGAACTGGCTGTATATGGACAATGCAGTGGAGAGTCAGAGCAACAAGAAGCCGCTATCCCAAGGTTAAACAGCACTTCCTTAAGAGGGAACCACCGGAGAAGGGAGAGGCTGTTCAAACTCCCCCAGCTGAACCCCACCACGTATCCCAGACCCTGCACGGTGCAGCAGGCTGGACTCTCACCTCGTGTCCGAGAACTCCAGGTTGGTCACATTGAGGACCCTTTTCCTGTTTGTGCTGTAGTAGTAATCCACAAATTCCTTGAGCTTCATCTTGCAGTCTTTCTGCTTGGTGACATCAGTGACATCAACACTCCTCTCTGGTCCTACAAATTAATTCAATGAAAAAGAGAGATTGAAGGGCAGCCTGACTTGCCCCATTTGTATGCTTGGAGGGGAGTTAACATTTCGAGAAATGTCTCAAGCTTTTGATTTCCTGGTCTTCTTAGCCTTTGTATCTTCCCTGGTGTTTATGTATGTATACACATATACACATATGTATAAAAGATATGTATATACATAAAATGTATATGCATAAAATGGTGCTTTTTTATTCATGCTCCTGACATAATTATTTCTGTAGTTTTTATCTTTAAAGGATTAATGTTATTTTGAATCTATTAATTTCATTATGGATTTTATTTGCTTGGTGAAAATTATATGCAAATACCTGTATATCCACAGAGTAAGCCCTACCCACCAGGCTGTAAAAGTCTTGTGATTGTAGACAAGAGTGTAATACTGGACAGGATATCTTGCCAAACTGATTTTCCAAAATTGTAAGTTCTCTTATGCTCTACTTTAAATTTTTGCTTTTGAAATCTACAATCGAGAAGGAGTTTTGCAGGAAAATTCCGATTTTTTAACATGATATTTCAGGTGTGCCACAAAAAAAATTACTTTTTATTATTTACCCAAAATTACACCTATCAAAAATCCATCCCCTCTGTGTTAGACAACAGAGAATAATCTCCTAGTACTTACACATTTCCTTTGACAGACCCTGCTGGATACAAATATCCAGTGTTAATACTGACAGTATTAGTCAATTAGTGGAATTTTATGCTCAGCAAACCAAAGAACACATGGAGAAAGTCAGAGCTTTATAAAGAGTGCCCATTGCTAAGCACACTCTCTTATCCCTTCTGCAAGAAAAGCATCTCTCCAGTCTTTCTTCCCTTCAGTTTTAATTGGCCGTATTTTTCCTCTCTCAGCATTTCATTCATAGCTTTTTTCACATTAGGAGGGGGAAAAAAATCAATTTGTTTTTTCATGAAATGCCAGAACAGTAATGATGTATTTGGCAGTCTGGTTTGTGGTGTTTTGTCCTCTGCTACTTATTTTAGGTTGTTTCTAAAAGACATTCTAGGCCCAATGTAATAAACTACAAAACAGCGAGATAAATCCCTGCCTGGGAAATCCCGTTCAAGTGAACTAACCCCATGGAGGTTAGACCAGCACATATTTGTGCTGTTCACTTTCAAATCTGGTGCCAGCTTCAGATTAAACAACCCATGTTCTTCCCTCCAGCTTTTCACTAACAGTTCTGTTGGTAGGGTGGATTATTTCAGCTAGAGGCTGAGAGAAAGCCTGCAGATGCATAAGGAGCACCCAGGTCATACAAGAAAATCTGCAAAGTGCAGCAGATGGGCAAGGAAAATATGTTTCCTCTAGAAGCAATGGGATAGAGATAACAATAAAATCAGGGGTCTTGAATTCTCCTTTATTCATCTATTGCAAAAGCAATAGATAAAGTCAAGAACAGCAATGGCTGGTGATAGTACCCTCCAGTTTGGGGAACAGGCCAATGGTCTGGTAAGGAGAGCGCAGGACGAGCGGGTAGTTAGCAGACTGTGTAAGGAGATAAAGGGACCATGAAACGCAGACAGATACATTGGAGCTGGAGTCGTGGCTCCAAAAGGATGATGCCTTGCCAGAAGACTGGAAGGAGAGAGAATCAGACAGAAAGTAACACAGAGGAAGGACAGACCGAGAGGGGACAAGAGACAAGATCACACATGCTAAAGGAAGAAGGATGCGGAGACAAGACAAGCGACTTCAGAGCACTTCCATGGCTCCTGGCCAAGGTATGTCTTCCAAGGTGGGATGACTTGATGACTTGTGAGAAGATGCAGTACAATACCCTGCTCAGGTTAGAGACAGAAGGATGCTGAATGAATGCAAATGACCAGCAGCAATCAAAATAACTCTCACTGATACCAGCGTTAAAAAATGGACTGTCTTTGTAGAGTGGGAGTCTCAGTCTAGTAGTTCCTTCAATACAAAGCGAGATGGCAGTAATCAATTAAGACCTGGCCTGAAGAAACTATTTCTTGGTACTACTATGACTGTTTCTTTTAATGTAGTGCTATGGAGTACAGCGCGGTCTGGCTCAGACTCACTGTCAAGTTGGTACAGGAAATAAGAGAGAATTAATTGCTAATCACAAGCTACCACTATAAACAAATATTGAAGTCAGCATAGCTCAAGACATAGACAATATTTTAAAATATATTTTACAGTTTTTTATACAAATAATGTATATATTTTTAGAAAAAGCAGCTGAGCTCCAAACAGTACAATGCCACCTGCTTGCCAGACACCCACCAACATAGTTTTCAACATCGCTGACGTAGAAGGTGGGTGCAGGTACAGACAAACCCAGGCCATCCTTCTTTGGGACAAGGATGGGCTCTGCAAAGCCATTTTCTTCCAAATACTCTGTTGTTAGTTGGCTGCCCGGCACTTTCACGACTATGTCTTCAGCACTGAAAAAGTAAACACAGATTCAATGGTGAAGTGCTTCCACGCAGAGTTTGGTATATTCTGCATTTCACTACTGAAAGGAAAAAGTTATGAATTAGCAATTATATGCAAATTAGGTGCACAAGACAAAAGCCAAAAAGCCATTTATTGCAAAGAACACAGGGCACACTAAAATCATCCGGAACTGATTCACTTGAGCCTCATGCACCAACTACTGGAAACTCCTAAAATAACAGCTTACAGTGAAAGACCGTTTTCCTCAACTGTAGGGATCTGTCGAGTTACTGTTGATCAATGTTAAAGAAATTAGTGTGAAATGTTCCACTCTAAAGAAGGCAAGACTAAAAACGCTACACAATCTCAAATAAATTGCCCAGGAAATACTTTGCAAATCATTTTTAAGTAGTCAAATAAATTGCTTGGGAAATATTCTGCAAATCATTTTCAAGTCGCTGGGAGGGCTTCAAAGGGACTAAGGAAAGGGCAGCTTCATCAGAGCACCAGCTATGTGCACCGACAACTCTCAAGGGAAACTCAAGTCTGATTTCTACATCTTTTGAAGAGTAAAACACTGAATTTGGAGTGCAAAGTGACAGTATAGGAAGGACCATCTGTCCCAAAAGCACCCTGCCACCGTGTGTTGTTTGTCACCTGGGCTCCAAAAGCCACCCGGCAAGGCCCAGGCCACAGCTGCTGGGGGTGGGGGGGACGGGACAGCTAAAGTTTGAGTGTTCACCCCAAAAAGCCCAACCTCCCCAGGCAGGTAAGGCTAATACATGACTGCCCTCTCCTGCACCAGTTCTGAACTACAGTTCACATCTTCCTACGGCACCAAACACTGGCGGGAAAGGCGAGGAGGCGGCGAGCCCTGCCATGGCAGCCGGTGTGCTCCACCTTGCCGCCTTCACCGTCCCATGAAGCCCAGCCTGTGGCAGAGCCCCCGACACCCTTTAGCTGTGGGGTCTCCCCCCGACACCCTTTAGCTTTGGGGGCTCCCCCTGACACCCCACCACGCAGGGGGAACCCCTCAGCCTGGGCCCGCTCAGGCCGCCCTGGTGGGGTTTGAACCCCAGAGAACAAGATGGCCGGACGCAAACAGGGATAAGCTGTAGAAAGCCAGCTGATTTCGGGATCACCCCAGCCTCAGTGAATCGGCAATGGCTGATCAGGAGGCAAAATTCATTAATAATAAATTAAAAGGAGCATTCCTCATTTATGTCAGCACTGGTACCGTACGCCAGCAACGTGCAAAGAACAAAGCTGGAGATTTTAAGGAGCAAGAAGCAAACCACGATTTACCACTAAACCTCTGCACTTACTTTACAGGGCCCACATACATCTTGCGTACCTGTTCAAGTCTGATTTGCTTCTAAATGTGACACCGAAACTTACACATAGTCATAAAGAGAGATCAGTACCAGAGCATCTAGTAATGATCGTGCCAAAATGAAGAGTCTGGCACCTACACTGAAGAACGTGAACCATCAATTTAATTGTTATTACTACTACTATTACTGCTCTAATGCTATTTTGGTATTAAACATTCAGGAGCGGAACGACATGAATTATATTTTTTGCCTTTTTGCTCTCTTCACTGTTCCTTTTGATCCGAGCCTCACCAAGGGACTAACCGTGGGTTATAATTTACTGTCGTGTGCTGTGATTCAGCAGTGATGTTTCTGTCTCTGAACGCAGACCCCCTTTTTCTGTTCATCACATTCTGACTGATGAGTGTTGGGGTTTGTTCTGTGAACATCTGCAGATTTCATTCATTTTCTTCAGAAGAGAAAATTTCTCAACAAGACTTTGCTTTACTAATGGTGCAAGTGTAGATGTCAGAGGCCTGAATCTTGCAGGCACTCCATTGGGCTACAGACCCTTCTTTCTCAGAAACTTTAACTTGGCAGCAGGATTTTCTTGTGTGCACATTTATGTGACAAACAAAAAAAATGGGGGTCCATTTTTTTTTTACAATTTGGGAGTGACTTAGAGATACTGCATATGTGAGTGCAATCTCTGAGGTTACTGAAACCATTCTGCCCTAGGCCTTAGACCTTTTTTAAGAAATTAGCTTTGCAACCTGTGAAATTGCTCTGTATACAAAAAAGAACCCCCAAAACCTAAGACAAAACTCTAGCAGGTCCAAATAAAAATAGCCAAGCAACTAAAAATACTGGATCACGAGTTCAGTCAAACACATCTGCAGGCGCTGCAAACACTTGGCAGAGGTATTTTCAGCGTTTTCCTTAATCAGTCTAAGACCAGTATCTGAAATTAAACGTGAAATTAAATTCTCCATAAAAAGGAAGAAGTTTTGTGTTTACCAAGTACACTTTACCAGTGTCCAAGGATTCTTCTAAAATAATTAGTCATTAATAATTAAGGATTTATTTGGCTAAGGCCTACATTAAAGAACCAGAAGAAAATCATCACTCTTACAAATGGCTGTGAAGCAGCCTAATAAAGTGTAGAACATGTCACCTAACAATTAGCACTATTCATTACCCCAAATAAGAGAGCCTTTGTCACTGTAGCAACTGAGGATGTCATTGTTCTTCTTTTCAAGATGGAGACAGACTTCAGCAAAACCATTAGTATTTTTGAGAACTGGATAATTCTATGCAATAAATTGGTTTGTTTCTTATGTAAGCGAATGTTGCAGGGGCCAAACACGTTCTTGTTCTTGTCTTTACAAATACTAGCTTCTACGGAAATCCACAGGAACTGGGGTCATTCAAGAGTAGATTTGGATATGGCTGCACAAATATAAAAAAGGGAAGAGCCTGGGACAACTGCAATAAAACAGTGCTCATTTAAACTTCATCGTTCTGTACTATGTAATGCTTTCAGCAAGGATCATCATCAGCTTCATACGAAACTGGTTATACATGCTTTACCTCAACAGCCCTGTCCACGCATGCAGCTGAACAACCTACCTTGGAAAAGTACGACTTCGAAGTTCTTTTATAAAGACTTGGCTCCCGTTCTGTACAGGTTTGACCTCTGTCGTCTGTCCGGTATCGTGTTTATGCCAATTTCTTTTCTTTTTCACTGAAAAAGAATGAAATGGATAGTACCATATGTTAAGCAGAAGATAATTATTAAGACATTTGAAGGAAGGACAAGTCTTCATTTCATTTCTTACATGAGCAGAAAAGAGGGAACCCCCACTATGCTGCACTGCAAATTTTAATATTGCTCTCAGTTCACCATTAGACAACTACACTGTAGCCTGAAGATCTATTACATACTGAACAGTGTTCGTTTTGTAACATAAGGGCAACCAGACGGATAATTACTGAGCTGCACAGCTACCACAGGCTTTATGCAAACACAGGCTCTGGACATTTTGTACTTGCCAGACTACACACTTACTCCTTATCATAAAGCTCTTAAAAAGCCACTTTTCTGCCTTCTCAATATGCAGTATAGATCTTTATAAACATATTTGTCATGAATTACCTTAGTCTAAAGGTCTGTCCAGCAGTGGCAGATTTTACATCAATTTTGATGGGCTTTGAATTATGCCCTGCACACAGCGTGCACATAAAAGGAAAAACAAAAGAAAAAAAGAAGATGCAAGGGCACCACAAATGCAATTTTTAGAACTCCTCTTATTCCTAGGTTTTGAAAGGCAAGCCAGGCTTAGGCCTTAAGGTGACGACAGCAGACTGAAGGCCCCTCAACTGTGTTCCCAGTGGGTGACAGACATACAGGCAAGTTCATCATGGAAAAAGGGTCAGCTGGAATAAGCACAAATAAGTAAGTCAAATGTCAATGTAGTTCTGCCTTGCCTCTTTGACAGCCAGATAACGCAGAGCAAGAAAAACTGGTCCAGCTTTTTCTCTTAGTCAGCACTATCTCTCTCAGCTGTTCCTATTTCCACAGTCTGTCTGGATATGCTCATTTTGGTAGTAAATTGTTTTTTGCCCCAAGTGTGTATTTGTATCATTTCAAGCCTCTGTTAGTAGAATTTTCATATGTCACAACTTTTATTTTTCACCCTTGTTTTACATCATGAAACTCAGTATTTTACACAAAATCAAGATCTCTTATGCTTTTCTTGCTGTTCAAAACAGCTAGGGAAGGAACCAGACTCCTCAGTAACCATGCAGGGATGGCACTCTTTCCGCATTCTTTACACATGCACATACACACACACACACACACAGATCCACGTACTTTTTCATTAAGAAAGGAATCTGGAGGCTGCAGCTACAAGACGTGAGGTTCAGGAAAAGCTAACTTTGTTTTCCTGACCACAACCCTGGAATAACTCAAGTAAAGACATCTCCCAGTGAATCCATCCCAGGTTTTGCACAAAGCATGTTGGTTTTATTGGTTCCATGCAGCTCTCCAGCCTAGCTGGATATATTCATTAAAGCTGCTAGTTCTTTATCTTAATGACTCTCAGGCTTAGTGTATTAATTCAATGCTCCTCGTAACAAAGGAAACAAGCTCTACATGAATGCCAAACCTTCCTCCTCGCCTTCCCTTTCCAATGACTGCCTCCTCCCCCTTTCAGCATATCTGAACTAACACTAGGACTCTTAGCACAAGTCCCAGTGAAACAGGTGTCACTTGCCACAGTGAAAACTAAAGAGCTTATCATATTCGCGTGTTCTTTTATTACACTTCAGATAGCATGGAGTGTTGAGAAATAAAAGCAGCAAATCAGTGCTGAATTAAGAAATTCATGGCAATTCTTCAAAAAGCACTGGGGAGCTATTTCCCTCGGCACTGAGCGCCGGCAGGCATCCACCTCTCACATCCACCTCTCATGCAGAGGCAACAAAGATGCCTCTGCCACCAGAATACTCCCCAGGAGGTGCTATCACCTGGACAGCAGCAAGCCTGCTGCTGTAGACCATTATATTACATCAAACAATCGACATTTGGCCCATTTTCAGCCATTCTCTTTATGTTTCATCTTCACCATGAACACCACAGTAAGGATTAAAGGCCCACCAACATGTGCAACAAATACTAGCTTTAGCCAGAAAGGCCACTTTTTCTTAAATGATTACAGATTTCTTTTTCTGCAGAACTTTCTGATCCAAATTTGACCTTTGGAAAGTATAACCCTGCTCCTTCTACAGAAAACCCTCCAGAGGAAAAAGGGAATATATTTTTATGAAAACTGTATCTCAAAATTAATAATTCTAGACCTCAAAAGTATACTTACATTATTTCAAGTGTATTTATGAAGAAGGGATACCTAGAAGCACCCTGTTAGTTCTCTACTGATTTATATTAAAAGTTGTAACTAAAAAACAGTTTCAGCCTGACTTTGGTTTGCTTGCATCTATGTAACTTCACCAATTCCAAAGAATTTCTCCTGATTTTCACTGCTGCAAATGAGACAGCAATCAAACCGAACATTTTAGATTGTGTTATGAAAATGAGTCAAGTCTGCCTAAACAAAGCACTTACATTTTATTTAAATGATGTCAGAAAATTTTGTATGAATGTGTATAATTTTTCCCAAAGAGGAGTCCCTACAAATCTCATTAAACCGAAATGGCTTCAAATGTCATATGACAGGAAGCAATCTTCTGAAATAGTAGCCACGAAGCCACATTGGTAAAGTGGAAAAATGTAAGAAGAGGAAAATGATTTTAAAATTTGACATCTGGAAAACATATATTGCGGAATGCATGCTCCAGAAATACACATATATTTTTAAATCCAGACGAGTTGCATAACAGACAATTGGTGTCTGTGTTTCCCTTTGCTAATCTTGCAATAATTAAATGCTACCAGTGAACTACTGGCTCTGGAACAACTCTTACTCATTTATTACAAAACTGATAGTGGTAGATAACTAGTTTAAACATATATTGTAACAGTTAATAAACAAATGAAAGTGATCATCTCCCAGAAGTCCCAGCAGAGCCCAAGTGCCGTGTAGCAGGACACCCTGCATACAAATGCCTGACAGAATGAATGCATTAAGCCAAGCTGTTCCTGCCTTCATTTAATCAGTCTTTCCTGGCCTACTGCACTCCGCAAGGAGGGGCTACAGGATAACAGCCTCATTTTTCAACGAGATCCACGATTCTGCAAGTTCTTGGTGAAAATGGCTATGCAGCTTGAGAACCTGTGATCTTGCACTTCACCAAAACTCAAGATGAGGTTATCAATAACTAATGTTCAAATGCTCCTGAAATTTTTACACTCAACTACTTTGATGATTGGTCTTGTACGTCATTGAACTTTCTGCAATGCATCTGAAGAGAGAAAACAAAGTCATATTGCTGTACTGCAGAATGATACAATGTTCTGTATTCCTACCACACTGATAACCTCATACATTGATAAGACTATGACTAGCGACAGCGCTCCAGCAGCACTTTCTGCTGTGCTGCACAATGCAGACTAAAAGACGTACTGCCAAGTCAGATTTTTATTTGGATAAAAAGAATTGGATAGCCAAAAACCTTCTTAAAGCATCAAAAGATTGTTGTCATTTCACCTCTCCTCGTCTTAATGAGTATATTAAACTTGTTATCTTTTAAATAAAACTGCCTTTTCTTGAATTCTAAGATCATGCACCACAGTTTTTATAGTATTGATATTTAATTCCTGATTATAGCCTTCTGCTGCTTCTGATTTTTTTTCCCCTCACCCTGAAAAGTAGGTGCCTTTCATCATTCACAATTCAACGCAAAGTGAAAGAAACCAAAGCATCAGACACATCTCAGTGTTATACAAAACTCAGGGGCTAGAAATCCTGTGCTGCTGCTGCTGCTTCTATACTGGGTCAGCAACAGCCTGGGAGTATCTGCAGTCATGCCCCCCTTTTCAACACAACACATTCTAATACCAAATTGTTCACTTGAAGATGATTTGTGGTTATTTGTTTGACCAATTTCCAGTATGTTTGTCAGAAATCTTCCAAGAAAACCTTAGAAAGCCTGACTCTTTTAAATAAAAACATTCTGTGGGGACATATTGATTTTGTTAAGTCTTTCAGAACAAGCCTCCCAAGGGTTTTTTTTGCCAGCTTGCCCAATTTGTGGGTGCTCTGCTTGCGCCAAAGTTGTTAGCAGACCATCTGGGAGACAGGAACAGCTGCAGGTCATTCAGGTTTCCAGTTCACACTTGATTTTGAAAAAGTCAAAGTGGAAAAATGATTCCCATTTTTGCCCCCAAAACCAACATTTCAGGCTCCTCCCCTTTCGCCCTAGAAATCTTTTAAACTTTAACTTTTAAGGCAGTGCAGAAATAATTGCTTGGGTTTAAAATTACTGAATTCTAACACAACAGAAGTCAGTTTCCAGCCATCCCTTATTTCGCACTAAAAAAGGAACATTATGATTCGTTCAGCTCCTGGCAGATGAGCACTGTGCTCTTCCTCTGTGTGTTGCTGTTAAGGTTGCAAAGCAGTGAGAACCTCCGCATCACTGTTGCTTATTTATAATAAATGGCTTTCAAGTAAAGCATTTCGTCTTTTCAGGGATTGGTTTCTTTTCTTTTTTTTTCCCCCATTGTATAATAGAAAGAATTTGTGAATTAATCTGACCAAGGCAAACACATCCTACAGTTCTTTCCCAGACAAAACTCCCACTGAGATCAACTGTCACTTTTACTCAGGAGAACTTTTTCCTGTGAAAGAACTGCAAGAATTGGCACCCTCAGTACATCCTACAATTTTGACTGCCACTGAAATTGCTACAGTTTTATATCCAGGCCAAGCATAACATACTGTTTCTTACTCTTCTCATCCAAACACAAAAAACACCATGTAGTTTCCAAAATTCACTGTATTAGAACTAGCTGTCTCTGTAGGATTTTTCTAGCCCACAGTACTAACTACCTTCATAACTCTTAATTCCGTGCAAGGAAGGAAGCATCATTTCATTGCCAGGACTGGGGACTGGAGCTCCAGGTAAGGTGCCTTGCATTAGCTCATACACACTGCCTGAGGTCAGGCAGGGAGCTGCACCCAAAGCTCCATAATCCAACCCATGGTTTTCTCCCCACAACATCTTTTTTCACCTCATGGTTTGAATTCTAATATTTATGACACATGATATTTAGGTGTGTCTTTTTGTGATGAAAAAAAAAAAGCTTCTTTTGTTTAAACATACGGAATCTGCTGTGTATCTGAGGACCAGCTGTGCACGTATACTTACAAGTAGACTTGCCGTGGGTTTTCTCACAATTTGGACAATGATAGATGTCTATATCTGGTGCCTCTTCTTCTTCAACACCCACACAGCTGGAATATATGAAGGCAAATATTACATTAGCTTGATTCCATCTCCAAACATGCAAGCATGCAATTAATAATGAAAAAAACCAAACCCCAATAAGCTGTGCATTTACTATGCAGCTATGCTGACTGCTAACAGCTATATCAAAGCAAAGCTTAGGTGTTTTTTACGCTAGTACAGTCAGACTGGACTTTCTGCAGCCTACATTCCTGATGTGGTGCTAAAAAGGTGTCAGTCAGAAGCCCACTACCAGCTCACCAGGGACCTCCTAATGGCAGAGAGTCCTAAAGAATTTTTTTTCCCAGGGAGACCATTTTGTATCTACATGGAGTTCTCCAAGCACCATCCCACGTAAATCTAATTAACAAAACACATCTTCTTTACCAAGCATGTATGGACAGCTGCTAGGTACCAGAGTAGTCTTGGCAAGGTATACCATATGCAAGATTTATATAGGTTACATCTCTATTACAATATACGAAGATGAGGAGGAAAAGAAGACACATAGCTCACAGCACTTCTGGCTGCCAAGAAGATGGGTTGTATCATGGCAGCTGTTTAGAACACCCACCGAGATTATTTTGGATGGCACAACATATGCAACAATACAGCGCAGCCTGTGGGCACGCTGCGTGAATGCAATCCAATGGCAGAACACAGCGCTGCGGCAAAACAAAACTAAACTGCAAAGGAATGAAGTACCCAAGATAAGAAGATGTTGCGCAGTCAAAGCACCGAGCAGCCAGCCAAATAATCGAACTCCAGAATGGCACTGTTCCTTCCGACGGAGGAAAAGCAAACAGGATCCTGCTCCTGCTTGCTCGGTCTGAAGTAGCCCAGGCTGCAAGGCACATTTGCAGCACAGAAAAAAGAGTTTCAGTTGGGTGCTGTGAGATACGGCCCTCACGTCATGGCTCCATGAGAGCTCAGCTAGGCAAGAGGAACCACAAGAGGCAACAAAGGTAGCTTCACCTTAACCACCAGCACAAACAAGGCTAGATCACACCGTGATAAAAGCACTCCTGGAGTTTCTCTGCTTCACCACCTGAAATGCCTTTTCAGTGCTCTTCAGTGAGCAGAAGACACCGATTCATCTCTTCTGCCAGAGAAAGGGTTTGGGCACGGGTCATGGCAACGCCATCCTCATGCATATGGTAGCGTTCAGCCTCCTTGCATCCCACTGGCAGTTCAAAGTGGCGATCAGTGCAGGAAGATGAATTCAGAGTTTTTAGCTGCTGGTTCTGACCCACAGCAAGCAGAGGAGAGGATGTTTGCTCCTCTCCCACAGGCAAGGCAACAGGGTGGGTCAGTTGTCCAGCGATGTACAGGATACCATTCTCACCGTGTTCAAGCTCTTTAAGACAATACCAAAGTGTCCAAAATTACAAACAAGTTAAATAACTACAGAAATTAATGTAGGTTGGATACACCAGCAATTACTAAATATGATGGTCTAGATGTAGGAAGGCCCTAAACTCCTGGTTACTGGCAGACAGGAAGGTGCACAGATAAAGGAAGGATAATGCGTGATCATGCAAGCCCACCTCTTCTATGCTTTTTTAAGCCTTGCAAGTCTCTGCTGTTGTGAACCAGCTACCTGGCTCCACGGAGCTCAGAGCTCTTTTGATGTCTTTGGTGGGGGGTGTGCATATGTGTGCATGCACACGGTGTACGTGAGCACACACACAAACACGTGCATGCTCGGGACAGGAGGATTAAGTGTTAAAATGCACTATGACCCTCTCTGCTTACAAAGGTGGGTTTGAAACCATTTCTGAATCCAAGGCACACAGTGATGTGCAACTGTACGTATCATGATTACAAACACAGATCTACTTGCTTTTAGAAAAAAGAATCAACAAAACCAATATTCAGTCTGCAACCGAGCTGGAAAAAGCCAAACTAGCTAGATATGGAAACAAATCTTTCTGTAACCATTGTAAATGTTTTGTCAAAATAAGATTCTGCCAGAAACCTCTGTGGATATTTTCATCCTGTTGCAGCTGCCAGTGTGCGTATGGGACCCAGCTCCCTCCAAACCAAAGAGTACAGGGTGAGAGAAATTCTCATTTTTGTGAGTTCAGCCTGTGAACAGCCTGGTAAACAGGACATTATTTCGGAATTGTCTAAAAGCAACTTCAGATTTGGCTGATTTATTTTTTTTTTATTAAACAGTTACTTGAAAAAATACAAAATTATTGGGTCTCCGTGGGCAGACAGCATGGAAAACTGAAGAGTAAGTTTGCAGACAGGAAAAATCATCACAACAATCCAGTCCTCAGAGTCAAGTACATACGGGCAGTAAAATACCAGATTAAGCAGTAGAAAAATTAAACAAACCCTGTCAGATTAGAGCAAGCGTAAGAGAATGTGGAGGATTCTTCTACCCATAAAGCTGCGTCAGCTGCTTATGCCACTGGATTCAGCTTGTTAAGCTTAGTAAAGGTATGGATTAGGCTCTATACAAGGGCTTGAAAAGTCTATATTTAGCTAAACTAAGGAGATGAGACCCTTGGGCGCTGCATGGACTGCTATAGGAGGAGGTATGAAAAGCTACTGCATTGGGCAAAGGCTTCAGTGTGGTGGGAGCTATTGTTCTGAGAGCAAGTAAAAATATTTAACTAGAACAAAAAGGAAAAGTAAAAATAACTGACCTCAAACTCAAACGGTCCTCTAAAAGATGCAGTCAACTTTTCCAACTACAACATGGCTTTTGAATAAGGTTTGGCCATTTACAGCTACTCGTAGGCAGAAGCCACTATCCTCACTGTACATGAAGTTGCAAGTACAAACTGTCCAAGAGATCACCCTATCGAAATCCCTCAGGTGATCTTTAACCAAAATATGACCCAGTTCCAGTCTGTGCCCCTTTTCTCAATGAACAGAGCTTGACTCCCCAGGTTATTTCCACCAGCAGAACTGTTTGTGGGCTTCCACATGAATATAGGCATACAAAATTGAATTGCCACAGTTAAAGACAGGTTAAGAGAGACAACCGCTCAATAACACTCCTGCCAGAAGAGGAACAAGGATTTCTTGCTGGGTGTATTGGTTTTATGTGGCAAGGTTTTGGCAGTGGAGGGGCTGTCAGCTCTGCAGCAGTGACCTACCCTTGCGTTGGTCTCCAGAGCATTTGCACCTGTGAATGAGAACCAGAAGGAGATTGCCAGCCTTGGCAGAAGTCAGCGCAGACTCCTGAAGAGGTCTCCTGCCTAATTTACAAATGTATTTTTTCTCAGAGCGGTTAATCAACAATATAACAGAATCAAAGCATTTCTCCAGCTGAAGAAAACCAAGTCATCTATAGCAGCTGAACAGTGCTGTCCTTCCCCTCAGTCCCCAAATTTGAGCACAAATGGTGCTTTGTGTTTTGCATCTATTTTTTTTTCATGAGAACACTCCACTTTGGTCCCTCCGGTTTCTTTTTTCAGCCCCATTTGCCTGAGAGAAACACAAACATAAAAAAGACTCGAGCCAAGCGTTTGACCCCCTACAACGATCAAACGGGTTCAGAGTCAGACAGTGCAGGATCACAGGCGGCGTGCTTGGGAGCAGCCTCCAGCAACGGGCCCTGCTGCAGCCAGCCCCACATTAATCTGTCAATATGAGCCCTGGATGCGTTACCATCGACAGAGGAGAACTGGAAAAAGCTCTCAGTAGCACTTTTGTGTGATTATTCAGATCCGCTGATGAGATAAAAATGGACGTAAGAGGTTCAGCAAAGGTACTGCAAGGCAGCGTGCAAGGCAGAGCTTGCAAAAGGACGGGCAGGGAGCAGAGGGCCAAGCGGCAGGAGGCAGAGCTGCAAGCAGCCTTGCGAACAACAGCAGGAGCAGATTTATTTGCCTCATTTGTAGCAGCAGTCCAAGAATCCGTTTCAAAAAGCCCACAGACACCTCAAAACAGCGTGCTGACACCCCAGCAAGACCCCACTCTGCTGCAAGAACTCACAGATCAAGCGGTGCAGCATTTACGCCACGGCAGCCTGTGAAAGAGATCGCTGAACACGTCCTCCTGTTTGCACGGCAGCGGTACCTCACGGGCACCGGCGATTTCATACTCAGAGGCGTGCGCGGGGACAAAGTGGGTGTCCTCCAACAACGTATTTAGGTGTGGATGTCTCTAACTGTCTAACTGTGAATTATCTCCAGCTGCTGCTTTTTAACTGTGTGATAATTAAGGCATTTGGCAGGACCAAACACATTCTTGGTGAAAGCATCAGCTTCCCAAAGCAGATCAGAAGGAGAAAACTTTTACTTGGTGAAGGATAAGGAAGCAAGGAAAGAAAACTGTCCCCAGACACCCTGCAAAGCCTCACGCTCACTGTCCCATCAGCGTTAACGCGTGAGAGGTTGCAGCCGTGACGTGCCAGCTGGGAACCAGGGATGCAGCTGGTGTGGAGGGTAAGGATGCAGGACGCAGGAGCACCAGCCTCACGGCAGCAGCCAGCACACACCGCTCAACCGTCGTCTCATCCAGAGAAACCCTGTTCCACCTTTTTGCCCAAGTGCAGGAAAGATGGAATAAGGGATTAGTTATTGTGCATCCAAAAATATCTTGTTGGAACTATTTAAAACAACTTAATGGTTGATTTTTAAATGGTATTTAAGTGATTTAACTCAGGTTGAGGCAGCGTAAAACTAATTTGATAATGAGATAAAAGTGAAACATTATTACTGATGCATTTGAATTTTACCAAAACTGTTATACGAAAAAAATAATAATAATGAAAAGTAAAGCCTTTGATATTGCAGCTGTTTAAGCTGATATATCATACATTTTACAGTGACTTAATGAGAATTAGCACAAACAGAAGCATTTGCAGTCAGAAGCTACAAATTACATTTTTATTAGAAACTCTGCCCTTTGCCACTTTAAAATGAAATTGCTTCTGTGTTCACAATGAAGAGACATTCAAATTTCAGTATTCTGACAAAGTTAATGACAATTTTTTCATGCAGGCAACAATAATAAAAGGTGCCTAAGTCGGAAACTGGCTTTATAG